TGTGCGCCCATGCGCGCCCATGATCAGGATTGTCGTTTGAGTACGCGCCCATGCGCGCCCAAGCTTGATATTGATATTTGAGTGTGCGCCCATGCACGCCCAAGCTTGATATTGATATTTGAGTGTGCGCCCATGCACGCCCAAGCTTTATATTGATATTTGAGTGTGCGCCCATGCGCGCCCAAGCTTGAGATTGATATTTGAGTGAGCGCCCATGCGAGCCCATATTCTGTACTGCTATTTGAGTGCGCGCCCAAGCTTGGAACTGCTATTTAAGCGCGCGCTCATGCGTGCCCAAGCTTGGAACTGCTATTTGAGTGCACGCCCATGCGCGCCCAAGCTTGGAATTGTCATTTGAGTGCGCGCCCATGAGCGCCCAAGCTTGACATCGCTACTTGAGTGCGCCCATGCGCTCCCATATTCGGTATTGCCTTTAGAGTGCGCGCCCTGTTGAGATGATGACCCTAGAGCGAGCACCCTGCTAGTCCCATTGATTTTATTCCCTTGCTGATCAGTTGCTGCGCTAGCACAACTCCGTGCATATAATGTATTTCCTGCACGGGAAGCATTTGCAGTCCAGTCCCTGCACAGACGATTTGGTACCGTCCAGCCCTAGTACATTCAGTATTTATGACTGGTCAGGGTGTTGATGAGATGTTTTGCTGATCAGTTATCCTGAGTTGCTGTTCAGCCAGGCCCATTCAGGCGGGCCCATTCCTTGAAATTGCTGCTGTTCAGCCAGACCCATTCACGTGGGCCGTATATCGAGTTGCATATCAGCCAGGCCATTCAGGCGGGCCCCTACATTGAGCTGGTTGCTGACTACTATTTCCAGACACTGGTTTGGTAAGCTAGTTGAGAAGTTTTGTTATCACTATGTCGGAGATCAGAGCTTCATTATCAGGGTCAATGAGTCCCCTACATCGAGGCACACGTTGGTGATTACCTACTCGGTCAAGGGGGCAGGGAAGGGAGTGAAAAGCACCACATATGACAGGATAGCTGACTACATATTCCGCAGGGAGAGCTATTGGAGGGCCAACTGGCTGCATGTGGTGTTTCCTCGCGTTCCTTCAGCACCAGGGGGTGTACTCTTTGACTTTGATGGGTGTAACCCCAAACCTCTCAGCGAGGCTCG